TGGTGGGACTAGTTATTTATCAAGAGATAGGCATCTCTCTGTGTGTGTATGTGGTCAGATTGTGATGGTGTGTAAGTATCAGCTACAGTCTGAACTATATCAACTCTACATTCTGATTTGCTGTGTGCCTTTGAATCTTATCTTGGATATGCATTTTCGTGTTTGCAACTTTAAGTGTACAATGTAGGTTTGTGATTATGATTGCTCTAATTCTATCATTTATACCATATACCTTGGACGCGGATGTTTTGTTATGTTGCTGGAATAACTTAAATAAAAAGAAAGAGGAAGATTGCTTATTTGTGGCAATATTGGAGATTTGTTTCCATCTATTCATACCTTCTTTTTAACTTGTTTATTAATTTGCATTTTTTACATTTTGCCATTGCTTGCTCCTATTATTTATATATCACGACCTATTGTCAATAAACTGAAGACACCTTGCTGACATTTGTCATCCCAGGTGATGTTCAGTTGACCTGTTCGATGGATATTGGCGTTGCATGGAGATGTTGTTGTACCCTTTACATTTGTTGGTGTTATGAGGCAAGCGTAGTTGTCCCTTTTTCCAATTTTCTACTTTTCGTGTCATGCACTGTTTTGAAAAACCAGCTCAAGGCCCATACCGTTCCTGCAATCAGTGCTATTATTTTAATTTGGGATATATAGTTACACGCGTGATGTTTGTTTTACCTTGTATGTGAGTTTCTGTAATTGTTTGAAGCATCATAAGCGGCAGTGCATCTAAATCTGTTTATTTTCAGTAAATTAGGAGAACTTTTCTTTGGTCATGGTACTATATGCTCAAGTATAATCCTGCATAAGGTTTCTGAGTAGTTTTGAAGCATCTATTTGTGTGTATAAGTTTTTTTCATTTTGTAAAAGAACTATATTTTCGTATGTGATAATAGTTCTAAGTAACTTGTTTCCATTTATAGTTCTTATCTAAGTTTTTGTAACAGTGGTAATGTTACTCACGGGCTAAGGAACACTTCGTCAGCCACTATTGAGGTTTGTCTGCCAAACCCATGAGTAATTTTTCGTGAAGTTTCATCCTTTATTTATTAACATGAATTATGTTTTTGTGGTGCTTGGAGGCGATGCTTATTATAATTTGTCCATATCTAGGGAGTCCCATCTTTTTGAAAGTTTTTGTTTGTTTTTGTCTTTTTCATTTTCTTCCTCGTTAGTTCTGCCTTCACTCTATGATAATTATCAACATTCTCAGTTGCTCATTTCTTTCTTGTATCGTTACAGTAATGCACTAGGAGATTTCCTGAACTACGAGTTCATGGATAGACTTTAAAATTTTTATATTATTATATATCCTGCAGACGCTATTTTATTTTCAGTCTTTAATTGTCGTATTTGCATGCTTGACATATTTGTAGTTTAACGGCCCTCTGGTAGAGTATGTCCATTGAGTTACTCAATTTGTTGCCTGCCTGTTGTCTTGGAGAACAAGTTGTTTGATGTTGAAAAACCATTTCGATTTCTTGCATTGTCATTTCTTACTTAGCATGATACCAAATTCCAAGAATACCTTGTGCCTGTTGTCTTGGAAAACAAGTTGTTTGATGTTGAAAAACCATTTCGATTTCTTACATTGTCGTTTATTACTTAGCATGATGCCAAATTCCAGGAATACCTTGTAATAGTCTGTATTCACATCTTTCATTTAAGGATAAACTCGTTATGGACTCTAATTCAATTGTGTATGGTTGATGATAAGAATTTTCACCATCACAGGTTAGAAATGCAGAGTCTTACACTGATGTGATGCAGAATGCTGGAATCGCCATCGATATTGAGGTAATTGACATTGACATGTAACAAGTGCTTTTTTATGCTTTCAGAAAGTACATCTTTGAGAAGTGGAGTTTTTGTTTCTATAGGAAAGGAAGAAGAAAATCTTGGAGAAGTATAATTCTGTTGTAAATGGTATTAATGGTTCTGCTGTAATTCATAGTGGTTTACTTGATGAGGTATGACGTGTTGCTGGTTTTTTGCTTTCTAATTCACTTTGAGAAGAACTTTAGAAGATTCTCCTCTTTGTTAGGTTGTAAATCTTGTTGAAGCACCTCATCCTGTTCTTGGAAAGTTTACTGAGACCTTCCAAAAAAGACCTGCTAATAATGGTTTGTCATTTTTGTTTCTACGCTATTTCCCTCCTGTCTTTGTTCGAGATGGGGCTTATCCATTTCTGCACTACTTATCTTAAAATTTCTACTCACGAACTTTTTGCTGCACTAAATTGGATAATATACGACTGATCAAGTCCATATTGTACTTTTAGCAAGAAATTGTATTTGAGGTCATTCATGTTGCTAGGTGTCTCAAGTCATGAAATTTTGCAGGTCATGCAAAAGCATCAGAAGTATTTTGCAGTAACTGACCAGGATGGAATGTTATTGCCACATTTTATTGCTGTGAGACACATAATCATATTGTTTATCAATTTATTTTTGAAATTTATAATAATACTGGAGACTCTGGTTATAGTTCTCGAATCCACGTGTTTGTTATGTTTGTTCAGGTTGCAAATGGAGCAATTAGTGAGAAGGTTGTGAGGAAAGGAAATGAAGCTGTACTCAGGTTGATATACACCTAATATGTGTACTGTTGGATTTGTTCTTCTAATGACTTGAGCTGTAAATTAAGCATCAAAATGTGGTTCCAGAGCTCGATATGAAGATGCAAAGTTCTTCTATGAGTTGGACACAAGCAAGCGATTCTCTGAATTTCGAAATCAATTGAAGGGGATCCTATTCCATGTAAGTTTCTAACAGTTTTGATGTATCTTTTTTGGTGCTTAGAAGGTTTTGGTAGGACGTATGAGGAAGTCTCATTTCCACAGTACATAGAAGTTGCAAACAAATATTATATTGTATTAAATTATATTATATTTTATGATGGAGCATCAAATTTTTATCTGTGCAAAGATCTGGGAGTTTAATCATCTGATCACCTTTAAGATAATAGCACTTTGTTACTGTTGATACATGCAAATCCTTAGAACATGGCCTTTTAAGTCCGGTGCAGTTCAATGTTACTGATATTTTAATAAACAGGAAAAGCTGGGAACAATGCTGGACAAGATGACACGTGTCCAGAGTCTGGTTACTAAAGTAGGATCGAAACTGGGAATGACTGAAGACATCCTCAAGGTCATTGAGGAGGCTGCACCATTAGCCATGTCAGATCTTTCATCTGCAGTTGTTACCGAATTTACTTCCCTTGCTGGGGTAATGGGCCGTCACTATGCCCTAAGAGATGGCTACTCTGAGCTGGTTAGTCTGCTTTTTCTGACAAAGTGGGGAACTTACTGTAACTTTCTAGTTGTTTCTAAGCTCTTATAATCTCATTGCATTTTCTTTTTTTATAGACTCTTCATCAGCTCCCATCTATTCAATCTCCTTCAGTTCTTAGAGATAGAAAAGATGTGCTTGACACTGAAGTCAGCTGAAGCTCATAATTTCTAAATGTTTTACTTATTACATTGGGGGCATAATTGATTTTCATGATTTACTACCTGTCTCCATTTCTGAAGATTTTCTGATTTTGCGCACATACTGGACTTCTATAGTTCACATTCCCACCCTAGCTAGACACCCTTCTTTATGTAATTAGCATGCTTAGTTACTGCATTGGTTTCCAAGACTCTAAGCAATATAATCTGGTATATCAGGTTTCTGAGGCAGTATTTGAGATCACACTTCCTCGATTTTCAGGAGACATGCTTCCAAAAAACTGATGCTGGAACAGTATTGGCAATATCTGACAGGTAAACTGAGAGCCTCTTTTGTTTTTTTTTTCTTCTGCCCTGTGTCAGATGCGATAAACTAATTGACAGAGTCGAATTGCGCTCAGAGGTATAAAACTAGAAAATTACACAACTGAATGAGTTTAGGGCTGTAAAACTTGATAGTTGATACCTGATCATCATTTTTTGGTTGAGATGAAAGTCATTAGGCAAAAATTGTCCATCATTCAACAGATGGTTTCTGTTATTCTGGATTCATTTGGTCAGTATATTGATAATGATTTTTATTTGATGAACTGGTACAAAATCCTACCTGATGAGGCACACGTGAAACATTGTTAGAAATTTGGTTTGATCCCGATGTGACCAAATATTCAAGTGAATCCATTTAGTGTAGAGTGGAAATAAATAGGTTGAAATTAATCTATGTCGGAGTAGTTGGTCATGATATTGGTACTACTCAAAACCAATTTTTCATCAACAGGTTGGAAAGCCTTGTCGGGTTGTTTTTTGCTGGTTGTCAGCCAAGCTCCGCAAATGATCCGTTCGGCATGCGAAGAATCTCATATGGTCTGGTATGCCTTTACCAGTATAATTGGAAGGATCTTGATCTGTAGAGAGGGTATATAATTAATGTTTACTTTATTCTTTTAGGTGCAATTGTTAGTAGACACCAATAGGAATTTGGAGCTGAGGTATGCTTTGGAGCTTGCTGCTGCTGTTCAGCCCATAAAAGTAGAATCAGAAACAATAGATGATGTAAGAGATGCTATATTCTTCCATTTGATTTCAATTTTTTTTCATTTATTTTCTACATACTAATTTCTAAGAAATGGAAGTTGATGACTTGCTTTTATACAATAGCCTCTAGCAACTACCGAAAATATGACCTTTCATTTTCCATTCTGTTGTACCGGGTGGAATTAGATTCATGTTTTATTCTCTATTTTGAATCACACTACATGTGATTTTGCTGCTGCAGCGCAATTTATAGATAGAGATGCAAATTTTCAACAAGCTGCATCTGACGGAATAATGGTCTATTATAGAACTTTTGCCTCTTCCCATGTGGGATCGTTATTGACCGTGCCATGTGTATATGTGCGTGAACAAATAAATACACCATTTCCGCAATGCATGGAGTTCTTTGCATGACTCTTGTTTTCTTTTCAAGTGGATTGAACATAACAATTTACTCTTTTGTTTTAGGCACATCAATTT